GGGAAGCTTTTGGAAAGGGGGTTGGGATCCTTTGGTGGTGGCTGTAGGGCCGATGGCTACTATGGCGCAGTAATTACTGCTCTTAATTTGGGGCAGGTGTGGGGCCCTCATGGAAAACAGGGTACGAGGGAGATGCTGGTCCTGCTTCTTGCCAGCCTCACCGCTCCCTCACACATCCCTTTTGTCCCCATTGGCTTTTTGTCCTGGGTCTGTCACCTCAGGGAGAGCATCGTGTCTTGATGATCCGAAGGCTGGAGCCCCTCTGCTGTGAGGAGAGGCTGAGAGAGTTGGGGGTGTTCAGCCTGGAGAAGAGAAGGCTCCGGGGAGACTTTAGAGCCCCTTTCATTACCTAAAGGGGCTCCAGGAGAGCTGGGGACGGACTTTTTACAAGGACATGTAGTGATAGGATGAGGGGGAACAGCTTCAAACTGGAAGAGGGGAGATTCAGATTAGATATTAGGAAGAAATTTTTCCCTGTGAGGTTGGTGAGCCCTTGGCCCAGGTTGCTCAGAGAGTCTGGGGCTGCCCCATCCCTGGAGGTGTTCAAGGCCAGGATGGACGGGGCTTGGAGCAACCTGGGCTGGTGGGAGGTGTCCCTGCCCAGGGCAGGGGGGTTGGAACAAGGTAATCTTCAAGGTCCCTTCCAACCCAAACCATTCTATGATTCTATGTGTCAGCGCTGCTCCCATAAACGTGGGGCCTCTTTGGCAAGGTTTGGCCATGGCGACGTGCCCAGCGGTGCCTGTGCATGGCTTTGCTGGTGTTGGGCTCTGCCCGGCCCCTGGGGCACAGCAGGCGCTCCTGAGAACTACTCCCACCCCTCGGGTACTCGTACCCGCCCGGATCTGCCCCAGTGCTCTCCACATGGGAGATCTCATCCCTCCCTTGTCTCTGACGGGTGCGCAGCCGCCTCCAAGCTGGCAGCAGTGCCAAGGCCGCATTGCCCGAGCTGGGTATCCATCCTCATCATCATCTTGCCAAAATTTGATCCTCGCAAGAGAGAGCAGCAAACCTCCCTGCATCCCTCACCACGGGAGCTGGTTTGGGGCTGCCGGTCGCAGGCAGAGATGTTTGGGAGACCAGGGTGTTTGCCGAGTGTCGTGCTTAAATAATGGATAATTTTCTGCAATAATTTTAACACGAGCTTGAACGATGGGAAAACGCGCTGTGTAGGTTGCGGGTATGGATGTAACGGGTGATTTTCACAGGAGAGCCGTGATGCTCGTGTGTTGGGGCAGCATCGCCTCGCGCTCGGGTCAGACCGCGGCCATGGTCCCTCCAGCGTCACCCGTGTCTCAGTGACACCAATGGCAGTGCCATTGGCCGTAGTCCCACTGGGGCTTTGCCGTGCTCCTTCCTCTTTGCTGTGACAGCCGATGTAGCTTTTCACTTCCACTTAGAGCGACGGCGAGGGCGCCTGGGTGCAGTCAGGGATGGAGCACAGTGTTTTGTGCCTGCTCTGCACCAGCTGCATAAATCGCTGATTGTTTCTTGTCGCAATCTGAGTCACGATACAGCTCAGAGACCTGTGGAACCTCAGGATATTCACCCTTGATGCTCTGTGATGATTTTTTTTTTTTTTTTTTTTTGCCTTGCTAGGAAAAGCGCAGTGTGTGGGGCAGCTACTGCAGAGTGTGCCGGCATCTGGGTCGAGCTGTCCGTAAGCGATTCCCGCGCACCCCCCAGCGCTGCCGCAGATTCCCCGGGACTGTGTGGGACCAGGACTCATCCCACGCATCCCACAGGACTGGTGGCTTCGCTTGGGAAAGTCTGTCCTGCACAGCTGTATAATCATTTTCTGTGCCATGTAATCCTGGACAAATGGATTTTCCTCTTAGAAAATGATACTTCTTGCCTGCGGCATTAAGAGATAGTGTTAGAAAATGCTTTTTATTACAGCGGATCTGCTCCTGCTCCCTCTGACTGCAGTGGGTCCTCGCTAAATGAGCAAATGGCTCAGTTAAACTGTGTCTCTGGTTCATTTAGTGGGAGCAGATGCCCTCGAGCCTGCGGCTGATCGCTGCCGTTGTGCCATTTCCTGAGCCTCAGCCGAGGAGCTGCCGCAAAACGGCACAGCGGCGCCGTAACTCGCCCACTCGCCACGGGACATTATGTATGGGGGGCTCCCACCCGCAGCCGTGAGCGCCTTCTGCCTCGTAGGTAGGTCCCCGAGAGGTGGGCTGTGCCCAGCTGAAGGAGAGAGATGATGAGCGCGGGATCCCAGCTTGCATGCGCCCTGCCTGGGAGGAAAAAAAAAAAAACCCACAAACACAAAACTGTAGCAATTTTGTCTATTTTCTGGAAAAGGGCTGGGCAAGGCTCCCCGGGGACCGGGGCAGGCACCAGTGGGTGATGGTGAAGCCGGCAGGGAGGATGCAGAGAGCAACTGCTGACCTCGTTAGCAGCTCGCTGCCGACACAGTGCCCTGTCATAGCTGGGGCGGGGAAGCTGTCGGGCCTCCATCTCACAGGCCAGCAGTTATCTCCTTTCACATCCTGAAACAAAAAAAAAAAACCGAACAAGCAACAAAAAAGTTTATTTTTTGCTGCTGAGCAAACAGTGAGGGTTTTTTTTGCAAGAAAACCCAACGCATGCCCCCTCCGACACTGGTGGGCAACTGCAACTGTCGTTTCCAGCTCTGAGGACGAGTGTTTGGGTGCTCCCAGCCCTGCAGGGTCACCCAGGACCTCGGCAGGGTGACGGTGCAGGTGGCCCACGCTGGCGTCCGAGTTCAGTGGCCTCTTCTGAGGATGCCTTTCTCCTCCCAGCCATTGTCCTGGGGGAAGGGGAAAGAAGATGCCGATGAGCGCAGAAAGTGCTGCCTGCAGTCCCAGCAAAATGTTTTTTGGCTTTCGGGGACATTTCTTGAGGATGCTTCCGGCTTCCCCTTGGGATGGGTGGTTGAGTCCAGCCTGGGTTTGCCGTGGGAGCCGTGGCTGCGTGCTGTGGGACCTGCGTGCCTGAGGTTGCATGGCTCACGAGCAGCACCTCCGTCTTCACACCTGTAATTAGCGTGTGCCAATTATTTCTGCCCTTGTGAGCTCCCGTGTGGGTTGTGGGGGCAGCTGAGGGCTTGTTGGGGTGACTCAGAGCAGGTGGTGATACAGGGCACCTGCTTCGGCTTGGTTATGGCTTTATTCCTCTTGTACTTCTGGGTTTGGTTTGCTTTGCTTGTTTGTTGTTTTTTTTTAAAGGCAAAGGCTGCGTAAGGGAGAAGAGAGCAACGGGTGGGAGGTGGGGACGCCTTGGGGAAGCAGTCAGGCTGGGCTGTGGTCCCCGGTGCCCTGCCAGCACTTGCTGGGACATTGCAAGCAGCCCCGCACCGGTCTGGCTGCCGGGAGGACGCGTGGCACAGCCCTCTCCATGCGCGCCGCCGTGACTTCACCTGTTTCCTTCCTCTCGCTGTGACAGGGCGGGCAAAA